TCCATATAGATGGTTAGGTCCATGTTCATTGAGACATGACTGTATTGCTGGTTTTCTGCCACCTGGGTCTCATTTGGACATCAGAGTCATGCCTGTCATCTGACAGTGATTCAGATCACCTTCCTGCATCCTGTGTTGGGGAACAATTGAGAAGATGTTTTATTCTTTAGATGTGGAAGAATCCAGCAGTAAGACCTGTCTGGGCCTGGAACCTTGAAAAAAGCCACTTCTGTGTTACTTTGGTAATTTTCTCCATGTCATTCATGATGGTTACCCTGGCCAGGTTTTCCTCTTCCTGGACTAATTTGGGTAATTATGTTTTTCTAGAATTTTTACTTGGTTCTTCACATTTTTCAGATTCCTTAGCACAGAGTTGAGTTTCAGTTCTTTACTTATGTCATGCAGCATTTTCAACTTGAAATATTGCTAGTCTGCGTGCCTTTTTCCAGTATGATTGTAGTGTGCCGTCTTCCCTGAAGACAGGCGGCCCCCATGTGGAACCTGCAGGTTGACCTGTTGATTCACGTGATCTTCACGTGGAAGAGCAGTGCACATGGTTATAAGTACTGGGTTCAGTTTTAGCATCATGCCCTTGTCGTCTGTTTAGTGCTGTTGAAATAGCTCCGCAGTCAGCAGTGAGGGTGGGACCTCGTGCTGACGTACCGTGAGAGGAGGTAGGAGTCAGCTTTATTCATGGTAAAAATAGTGCAGCCACACACGCTGAGCTTTCTTCAAGCAGGTGGCCCCTCTGAGCAAGCAGAGGTGCCTTTTACAGTTCATGAGGTTCTACATCATAGCAGTGAGTTTGTGTTTTAGGGCTGGGCGCAGGGGGGAGGCTGCAGAGCGGGGTTCAGTGTGGTGGGGGGCAAGCTGACAGTATCAAGTGGCAGTGATTTAAATCTTTCCTAGAGCAAACCTTGAGTTTATTTCTGAATGTGGAACTCCTTGTGAGTTTGTTACCCATCACAGTGCCTACGGGGAGGGCGTGTTGGGGACACCTGGAAATCTGAGGCTCATCTCCCACCTCACTCCCTCCAGCCTGCACACAAGGCCTAGAGTGAGCGATGGACTGCTGAGACATGTCACCTCTAGGGAAGGCAAAGCCAAGACATGTGCTGGAACTGCTGCTTGCATTCTGTGCTCCGGGCTGTAGGTCTACAGGCCAGCAGTGCGCGCTGGAGCTAGGGGAGTTGGTCAGGGCATCGTTTTGTATTTTTAATAGGCAAGAGAGAGTAGGCTGTGGGTAAGTTTGTGTCCAAGTGACATACACACATAATCTGTGTATGTGTGGGTAACAAGTTGGGATATAAAAATACATTTCTTGGTCATAGTGAAAAAAACTCAATACATAGTACTTTAAATGTCACTAAGTTACCTTGTGTGGACCAATGAAGAGCATATAATAAATGACCATTTTCTCTGTAATTTTGGAGGTTGTTTTTAAAATACATCAAATTTACCAGGAGAATTATGAAACACAGGTTAAATATAAACGGGACTTTTTATAAAATTGAGGGAAGCAAAAGCTTTTCATAATGGCTGTTAGACGCTCTCTAATTGAAGATTGTGTTTACCTATTGAACTGGAGCTGTAGGTAAAAGCATTGCAGTAGATGCTTATTACACTTAATGCAAGAGATGTTAGAGTCAGTAGTTCAAATGTATATATCATTACTACCGAGGCAAAAAGGTAACTTAATTGAAAATTTGAAAAACAAAATCTAGTATTTTGGGTACAAATGTAAACTGAGGTCATTTTTGTAAGAATTCATGTTAAAGTGCAGACGGATGGTGGCTCTCTCAATATACGGAAGAACAGAGCAGCTGTTTTCCCCCCACCCCCTCCGCCCCGCTTTTTTTTTTTATTGGTGCGTTATAGGTGTACATTAACAACTATTCTTTAAGTATTTCTTAAGTCATGAGGTTTTGTTGCTTTAAACCAAAATTGATTCTATTAATAAAAAGTTGTTTTGTTATATAATATCAAATTATATGTATAAAGTCTTGAAAGCACAGTCATTACTGCTGTGATGTATAATATATACACATATATTATTTATGACTCTTCAGTTTAGAAGAACTGCTGGCATAGAAATAATAGTACTTGAGTAGTAAAACTACATTTTTCAATGTTTCTCAAGAAGTATATATTTAAATTATATGATTTATTTATTTACAGTTTGGATGTCTACAATGTACTTTGTGTATTTTATTTTTTAAAATAATTGTCCTTGTTCTTTGGTTACTTGTGTTCATATAGTTTCCATTCATACCTTGGCATTTTTTTCTTTGAAATAAAACTGCTGTTGAATACTGGATCCAATTTCTGCCTTGTTTTTGCACCGATTCTTACCTTTATTGACATATTTTAAACTGGTACATAAAACAAAAATTACATGTCGGTTGTAACATGTTATGTTTCCATACATGTATGCACTGTGTAATATTTAAATCAGGCTAAACATCAGTCTCCTCAAACATTTATTATTTATTTATGCTAAAATCTCAAACTCCTTTGTTCTTTAATGTATCTGTTTCAGTGCAGGGGATGGACTCCAGGGTCTCTTGCAGGCCAAGCACACACTGTACTGCTGGACCATTCCAGCCCTTAGTTTCTACATTTAATGTGTTTGGGCTTTTTCTAGGATTATTTCCAATTTCAGTTCATCATTTCAGGAGGAATAACTGCAGTGTGTGAATCAGAAATGCTGTCCTGCTCCCGAAGGTTGTGTGTGCCCCTCTCCGCTTGTATTGCGAATCAGATAATTAGCAGGAAGCAAATAGGAGGTGCCATGAGGGATGCATTTATAAGAAAGAAAAATTAGGTATTTATTTTAACCTTTGCTGGGATATAATGTCTCCTACTGCAAATGAGCTTTTCCCTTCATTCTGCCGCTCCCACTCTGCCTTGTTTGGACCAGTGTGCAATGGAGGAAAGTTTGATCAGCAGATTGGAGTTTTGTGAATTTCTGGCTTTTCTGGCAAGATGGAGAAAGAAGCAGGCAGGCCCAGGTGAAGTGGGTGCCTTTGTTTAGAGTGGGTGCCACATGGGTGGCCAGTTGTAATGGGCTTAGCACTGGAGACCTGTCTGGGCTGGTGTGTGCAGAGGCAGAGGCTGATTATCTACATGGATGAAGGAATAATTTGAGAGCATTTATCTAAGCCATTATTTCATGGGCTATCTAAAATGTTATGTAATTATTGGTACTGTGTTCACTTCAGTTCTTAGTTCAATTTGGAATGGTTACTGTTATCATCAAATAGGATCAACTGTATAAAATTCAAATTAGTTGTCATCGAAGTAGAACTTGGTCATATTTATCAAATCCAGTTGTGCTCATAGCTTCTTCATCCATTCTTGTGATCATGGTTATTATTTCCCCCTGCAGTGCTGGTGATGGACCCCCGGCGCCTCATGCATGTTGGGCAGGCACCCCGCCGCTGGCCACCTCTGCAGTTTCCTCTCCTCCCACTCTGGCGGCAACACTCCCAGTGCTCTTACTGCTTTAGGTTGCACCTGTCTTTCAAACCTGTTTGCATATACATCGGTGCTGTAATCCATTTTATGTAGCATCTCTTTAATGTGGTGTTTTCCCTCACACTTGGTAGGCACTCTGAGTTATCTTCAAGGGACAGGCATTATTCTGTCATGCTACTCCTCAGCTCATCATTTCCTCTGTTTTTCCATCTGCTCTGTCTTCCATGTTTATATTTACCATTGAGCTATCTGATTAGTCCTTTTTCTGAAACTGGGTACTTTAAAGAAAAGAAGTTTAGTTAGCTCATGGTTTTGAAGTCTGAACGTTCAAATAGCATGGTGCTGGCTCTGGCAAGGACCCTTTTGGGTGCATCACCTCATGGTGGATGGCACTGAGGTTGAATCGCGTGGAAGAGGGGGAGCTCCCCTGCAAGGCAGGAAGTGAAAGGGCTGGGAAGGGCCGGTCCTGTTCATTTTTATCAGCTCTCTTGCAAGAACAATCTCAGGGTCCCAGGAGAACTACCTCAATGCCTCCTGAGGGTAACGGACCTGTGGTACTCACTTTCCATTACTGCAACAAAATTCCCGAGAATAACAACTTAAGAAAGGTTTCTTTGGGTTTCTGGTTTCAGAAGTCGCAGTCCTGCTCATCTGCTTCCTGAAGGGCTTGGGCGCGGGTGGGGACGCTTACTCATGGCACCCAGGAAGCAGGGGGAGGAAGACTGAGGAGGGGACTAGGGACAAGTGTGCTCTTCCAGGGCACACCCCAGTGAAGTCCTCCTCCGCGAGGCCTCAGCACCTCTGGTTCCCACCCCTTCTCACTGGTGCCTACCGTGCAGATCCTCCGGGGTTGAGCCATTGATGTGTTCCGAGCCTGTGGGATCCAGTCACTCCCCAAGTCCCCACCTCTGAACACTGCTGCATCGGGACCAAATCTTCAGCATATGAGTTTGAAAGGGTTTATATGTATCCAGACTGCCACAGTCCCACAGTCCCAGGGGCCTAAGGACCCTGACCCCTTTCCCCAGTGACCCTGCTCCTTAAAGAGTTTAGCACCTCTTAACACTGCCACTTTGAGGACCAGGCTTACCACATCTAACCACAGCACCACCTGTGAACTTGGCTTAGTCTCCTTTCTAACCTTGTTAGCCTTTACTATTTCTTTAAAAATATCCCTGTTGGGCACTTCACATGTCAGGGAAATATTTTTTAGATACTTTTGTTAGGCAGCAAAGCACGTTCTACCTATTGTTGATTACTCAAAGGGCACTACTTGTTTGCATTATGAAAACATTAATAGGAAATTGTCCTCCTGACTAAGTAATTATTAAAATTATAAATACAGATTTAAAGTAGAATATGCCCGACAGTTTATGGACATTTATTTCATAAATAGATTCATTCAACAAATATATATTTTGTTTCTGGCATTGCTTATAAGTGGTATGCTTTTTTTTTTTTACTGTATTCTTTATTTACAGTGGTTAATTGATCTATAAAAGTGTATTTTTTTTTCCCCTCAGACAAAATTGAAGAAGCACAAAAAGAACTTAATGGGGCAGAAGTTTCAAAAAAAGGTAAGTCAAAACCTGTTTCTGTGGACTTTGTTCTTATGGAGATGCCCGTGTGATACCTTATCATTGCAGTCTTACTAAGTCAGTCAGTATGAATGTATCACAGAATTAGCAGTGCCATTTAGTGGTGGGTACCTAGTATTCTGTGGACTTTGCTGTACGATAGCGACACGTGTATTCTGAACTGTTGGCATAGGCTGATGTGTTGGCTGGTGGGAATGTGGGAGACTCTTGCAGCTCTTTTGAAAGTCCTCTTTCTGAGATTCTCCTCTAGTAGTGGAGGTACAGTACCATAGGCCTGGATGCTTGCTTGCATGTGTGAACATGTGGGTGTGCAGGGGATGTGCAAATACATGCTCAGGCAGTAACAAGGGTGTGTGTGCATGCATGTGTGTGCATGTTCTGGTGATGGCACGTCTGATGGCAAATTACAAATACAGCAGTTTCCTTCCAAATGTAGTAAGGAATAGTATTAATTCCTTTTTAACAACAGGAGGAAAAAATCCTTGAGTAACAGAAGTATTGAGGTTTCTCAGATCTTTTCTCTCTGAGTTACCTATTTTTCTTATAGAATATTCGCTTCTTCTATAAAAGGATATATTATAAAAACATGGAGTCATTTTTGTTTTTAGATTATGAGTCATTTTGTTTTTAGAGTCATCTGTGATAGATCCCTTTTTCTTAAAGTTTTTCTTTTTTTTAGTTGTAGATGGACACAATACCTTTATTTAATTAATTTGTTTTTATGTGGGTGCTGAGGATCAAACCCAGGATCAAATACATGTGCCTGTGTGTGTTCCTGTGACCACATGTCAGTGTAAATGATTTTATTTTTTAATGACAAGAACCTATGACAGATGAAACAACTTGAATACCAGTCAGGGGAAGAAAAATTCAGTGAATTGTAGCAAATTTCTTTTGGGTGGTACAGTTTAACAAAAATCTTAATTATTTCAATTGATGATGATAACCTATTGTTAAGTAAGAAAAGTAAAATTGTAATGTAGCACATAAAGTATGATCATATTTTTTAAAATTCAAATATATGCCTGCATATTTTTCTATGCATATGTGTATGAGCACAGCTGTATGTTAATGGGATCAGACAGAGTTTGAAAGAATTTATACATGGATATATTTACAATGGGGGAGAAAAGGCCAGGGAAGATAATTAAGTTTTCTTATATTGTTTCACTGGTTTTATAAGAGATACACTTTTGAACTAAATATCAGGACTTGAAAGGCAAAATTGCTTTTTACAATTAAAAGCATACCATTTTTCCAAGTAATATTAAAAACATACATGAGATGCAGAACACGTGGGTGTAATGAATAGTGTTTCTACACTGTTAGTGCGTAAAATCAATTATGTTCTTTTAATCTTGTGGGGAGATAAAGTTTTCATTAAAGTAAGTATATTTCATAAATTGTTATTTGGTAAAATATTTTGACAGTAATTTAGCTAATTTCCAGTGGAAAGGCTTTTGTTTTCAAAAATTTCTTTTAAATCTAATCGATAATGGACGAGATATCCACAGGGGAAATGATTCTTGCAATCCCAGCCCTCCCTCCATTAGCAGAGCCTGTGCGCCTTCAGGTGGGGCTTGGTCCTGGCACTCAGGCACCAGCTGCAGTGGCCTTGAAGCGTCTTTCTTCTTGTCACCTACCATTTTTGTGGCACTCAGGAAGGTCCAGGTGGAATCTGACCGTGCCATGTGACACTTCAGGACTTACTGCGTCACACAGGTTAACTTACCTGAGCCACACACTGTGATAAAATTTTAAACCAAAGTTTAAAATTAAAGTTCCTTCAAGAATTGCATGTAAAAGCTCTCCTAATTGATCTATTCATTTATTTGCAATTTATTTTATTCACATTCCATTACCACATCTGTGACAGTCATTATTGTATTTACATCCTGCTGAATAATTTTAAAAATAATGTCAAACTGTGCACTTTTAGACGTTACCGTAAGGAAGAACATAACGACTTCATGTGGGTTGTGTGTATGCTGCATGCTCGTACCTTTCCTCAAATGGACCAAATCAAAACCCATCAAATTAAATTAGAGCCAGGCTAGCAGAGTGGACTCGCTGCCGTCACCCTCAGGTCTTCCAGGAGGCTGTCTGGGCACCGTTGCCCACGTTGCCACAGCAGTGATGCTTCCTTTTGAAACCCCCTTGTCAAGTTCACCTTCCTCCCTCCAGTAAGCAGCTGCTTCAAGTAGGAATGAAAGTGAGCTTGTCCTTCCTTTCCTTCCTTCGTCCTGCTGTGGCAAAAAGTTTTCACAAAGTGAACTAAATGCCTGATGGGAAGGAGGAAACAGAAGAAGGTTCTAGAAAAAGAAATTGGCTAATGAGGTTCTGAATAATTGAATGGGCTGCAGTTAGCAGGCTGCGCTGAGCAGGGCCAGGATGAATACCAAGTGTGCATTGTTCTGTGTTCCCTGCTCAGAATTACTACTTGGCTTTGGTTTCACACCAAAATTCTGGGCAAATCACAAATACAGCAGTTTCCTTCCAAATATAAGTAAGGAATAGTATTAATTCCTTTTTAACAATAGGAGGAAAAAAATCCTTGAATAACAGAAGTATTGAGGTTTCTCAGATCTTTTCTTTCTGAGTTACCTTTTTTTTTTTTTTAAATAGAAAATTCGCTTCTTTGGGCTGGGGTTGTAGCTCAGTGGTAGAGTGTTTGCCTTGCATGTGTGAGGCACTGGACTTGATTCTCAGCACCATATAAAAATAAAAAAATAAAGGTTTTATGTACATTTACAACTTAAAAAAAATTTTAAAAATCGCTTCTTCTATAAAAGGATATATTGTAAAAATATGGAGTCATTTTTGTTTTTAGATTATGATGAGTTATATTATGATTACTATGATAGGTCCCGTTTTCTTTTAAGTATTTTTTTTAGTTGTAGATGGACACAATACCTTTATTTTATTAATCTATTTTTATGTGGTGCTGGATCAGAAGAGGTTCCTGAGCGCTGCCTAGCAGCAGAGCACTGAGCTCTCTGACAGGTTGAACTTGGAAGTAGAAAAACTGCTGGATCAGAGGCAGCTGGGCGTGGCCGGTTGGCTGCCTGATTGGCTGATGCCCAGCTGGGTGTTACAAGAAGAAAAGGAAGGTTAGGTTTCCATGTGGACTTAGCTAAGGTTGTAGTTTGCTAGGGAGGAACTTAAAGTAAGGAGGCAGCTTCTTCATTTGGATCTTGTACATATTTTGTTGGGTTTATTTCTTTAAACTGAACTTATGCCTAGCTCATTGATTTTCCCTTTATTTCTCCTTTTTTCTTCTGGGGGTCGAACTCAGGGCCTCAAGCATGGAAGGCAGGCACTGGACCACTGACCTCACTACCAAAGCCATGGATTTTTTATTTTTATTTTTTGGTGAACATTGTTTGCCAGTTCTTGTTGGTAAATCAAAATGCATTATGTTACTCTCTTGAATCTAATAATTTGACGACAAAAAACAGTAGTCGCTGTCCTTGCCTTACGCCTGATTGAGGAAAATGCTTCCAGTATTTCATTTTTTTGTGGGACAGAGATCAGTACTTTTTTAATTGTTAATGAAGTTATCTTCTATCTTTTATTTGTTGAAATCATTAAAAATTATAAATGAATCATCAAATGTTTTTTCTTTATATATAATAATCGATGGTTTTTATTCTTTGGTTTTATTTCATTTATTTATTTTGGTGCCAGGGATTGAACCCAGGGGTGCTCAACCACTGAGCCACATCCCCAGCCACTTATTTATTTATTTATTTATTTGACACAGAGTCTTGCTAAGTTGCTGAGGCTGGCTTTGAAATTGTGACTCTGCCACCGCGCCCTGCTAATCTTCGGTTTTCCTGTTTAATTTGACCCACATTCACTTGATGAAACCAATTTGGTCATGATGTTTTGTCTTCTTAGATACATGACTGGATTTTATTTTTAATCTTTGGTTGAAGAATCCTGTATTCCACGTTCAAGACATATTGATCTGTAATTTAATTTTTTAAAATATTATTTATTTGCGGATTTTGTTTTAAAGTTACACCTGAGGACTGGGTACGGCCTAGCGGGGCGTTCTGGTGGCCCTGGGGGGGGGGGCACCTTCCTAGGCAGCCTTAAGACGCAGGTGGACTTTGGGGAGGAGGGGAGGGTCGGAGTGCTGGCTGGTTTAGCGCATCTCCTGGTGAGGGGTATTCAGACTTTCCTTGTTCTCCGGTTGGAAAGCTGTGCTCCCCCTGGTTTGCCCAGTGCACCTGAGCGCCCCCATTTACTGGGGGAGTCCTGCGCGCTCCCCTCTTTCCCTGCCACCGGCTCCCTGTGGCTCTGGTTCTCAGGGTGAGGTTTTCCTCTGCCTCTTCGCCCTCCCTGAGTGCTGTTGGCTTTGTGTTTTGCTCTCTTTTTCCTGGGCCAGTTTCTGACTTTCTTCCTGTTGTGATTTATTCTCTTTTCCTCTCCCTTTGTTTGGGTTTGTTTTGTCACTCTGATTTCTTTAATTGGAACTTGCCTCCTTCACCTTGAGGCCTCTGCTCTTTCGGGTAGGGTCGCTAAGGCTACACCTTTTCCTCAAGGTGTTGCATTTGATGCCTCGAGCCCTGCTAGTTTTATATTTCTATGCTTGTTTCATCTTCAACCCCTTCGTTAGAATTTTCTTTTTCCACATGGATAGAGGTTTTAAAAAAATTTTGTGTGTGTGATTTCCAACGATTGCATTGTGATATTATTTGTTTTTGTAAAACCATTTAGGATATCTAAAATTTTTCCTTTTCTGTTTCTGAGTGCTGTGTCATCAACATTTTTGGTGTTCTACCAAAGCAGACTTTGTGTTAGAAATTTAGCATTTTTCAAATTCACCATTTTGCAAATAAGAAAAAGCTGAGGTTGAAAGATACTGAATAGTCCAGCCTAAGGGGCACAGCAAACGTCCCACCCTGTGCTGTCCTGAGATTTCCCCACAGCATGGCCAGAGAGGAGCCAGTGCCAGTGCCTGTCCGGTGGCC